CGAGTAAAATTTTCAGATTGAGAAAATTGAGAACCACTGACGCGCACTCAATTCGTATTTGCATGGTGCAAGCGCGGCGGCGGCAACAGCACAAGGTGGAGAAAACGATAAAAATTCTTTCACGGAAATTTTCTGCACTCCCACTACTTTTTCCATTCGACAGACGAAACAAATATATATATACACACACACGATCGTAAGCTTATTCCCATGCTTTACGATTCCGAAATCGTTAATGCACCGGGGACCACAAGATTCCATAAAGGCCATTGTATGATTACAAGAAAGCTAACAAATCCGCTTTAAGATATACGCGAGCCTTAAAGGATTAATCGAACCGCAGGCTGTGACTGCACGAAATCGCTTTAACAATGATCCATCATTTTCTTATTTACCATTCTGTCAATTGGTAAGTGTAATTTCCGTGAACAACTTTCTTTTCCAGGAGTGATCTGCGTAAAGCAGGGAAAGAAGATCGTTCGAACAATAGTATACATAGCTCTTTCAGGAGGCAAATTACAGCGAACAGAGGATGTGGTATTTATAGTTTGATGTAAATACATCGAAATCGAATCGTGGATCGATTTTCTAATCGCGCGTAATTGCCATAAGGACGTGACATTTATATTGTCTTCATCGTAGGAAAAATATTGACATAAATTAGCTGTAAGATTAGATGTGCGACTGATTCTCTCTTCGAAGTAAGCATTTTGTAAGCGGATAGTTTATCGCTGATTTATCGCCTAACCTTGACTATTATTTTGTTTTTTTTTTCTACTAGCAAGAAAAATTGCCAACAATTGTATTACTTGTATTTCTTGATTGTGCCATTGTTACTTTATCTGCTGGAACTAAAATCTTTTTTGAGAATTCAGAACACCAGAGGACCTTGGTGTGTTAGATGATTCTCAATGCAGTTATTCACGTTGTCGAGAAATTCCTTTAACTTAAATCAATATTCGAGAAATGACTATTGCTTACTGTTAACTCCACGAATATAGATGTGCTCATGCATAAAATTCAAGGATCCGATGATAACATGGAAATAAAATTTAAAAACACCAATGTGGAATTTTTCCTTTGATAACTACGAAGAGATAGGAATAGCGATGATGTTAATTTGATCTATGATTCAAGCCTAGATCATTCCTTTCCTGGACAACTATACCCTCCGTAGGTCTAAATTTTTTTTACCGTTCTAGGCTTTAAAAAAATCCGAAAAAATTCTGGAACACTTATCAAAGTCTCTGCTACATTATACAATTGTTCGTTAAGTTAAATGTTTCAAATTTTTTTCAATAAAAGTAAAAGTTCAAGAGTGAAATTTGGTTTGGGTCATCAATGACCCAGACTGCCGATAAATCAGGCATTCAAAGTCAATAATCCTAACGTTCAGTTATGACCATTGAGTACTCTGAATAATCAGTTCATAAATCGCAATTTCCTTTGCTACAGATTTCCTAGAATACACGATGAAAGTGTTAAAATAGTAAAGGTGCAGAAATTCCTCTTTGCAAACGATTTCAACAGAACTGAAGAATGATCCCGAGAAAAGCAACGCGAGACTTTCGAGATTTCGACGATTTTAGATCACCCTCGTAGAATTCGATGTCCTTTTTGAGCTTGAAATAATAATACCCATCGTTCGAAGGTGAAACAATGTCGCAACACATAAAACCAAGGCTTGTGTTCTTAAAACAGCAGCAACGTTCATTGGAAATGCAACAACTATGGGATTTAATTGTGAGAAATGCGGTGAAGGTTGACGCAAGAACATTCTGAACAACTTTTCTCAGAGTGTGACACACGGCGTTCCTACCAATGAATCCTACACCGATAACAATGGAAATAACGGTTGGCCGTCGCGCGAGAAGAAACACCGGATACTAGAGGATCCGCTACTTTTTCTCCTAACCAGCGTAACCGTACCTACGGACACGCTCTAAAAAGTGTGATCTCTTTGTGGCAAACATCGACTATGAATTGGCACTGACCATCGTTTCTACATCCTTCAGATCGTAGTCTGTCTTTTGGAATTAGTTAATTAACCCTTGAACACCGGATACTGGGTCAAATATGACCCAATACTGAATTCTTTTTCGTACGCGAACGAAACTGAATTTTTTCATTTTAATAGGCGTCATATATTGTGTAAAATTGTGCAAATATATTTGTAAAAGGAAAGAAGAATGTCGGTTGAAACAAGAGACATCTAAAATCCGGGTCAGCGGTGACCCAGCATCCACTGTTCGAAGGTTAAACGAGTCAATTTAACCCTCTACAGGCACAATCTGGGTCTTGAGTGTGAAAAAATGCTTACCTACGGAGGGTTAAAGAGATATTTTTTGTTCAATTTATTTATTTGTGAGATCGTCACGGTGGATCTACTGAAGAAACGGAAGTGAAAGAAATAGAGGTCTAGATAAGGACTACTTTTGATAATGATGTGCATTCTTGAGAATAATCTACTTTCTATTTTTAGGGCAAGCTTTTAAATTTGTGTAAGGAAAATTTGCAAGATTAATCTGTTTTTTTTTTTTTTTTTTTTTTTAATTGCACAGAGAAACATCTTATTTATACTAACTTTTTTGCTACGGCTGAACTGGAGACTAGAGTTCACTTTATTCATATTCGCAGTGTCTGCTGTTTGATACTGTCCAATTCGTCGTATTTGGTGAAATTTCATATTTAATATAAAAATATATTTAATATAAACTTCATATATCAGAAAAAGAAATTGTAGTAATTAACATATTTCAAATAAACTAGTTCTGTAATTGGGTGCGATATACCTTAGAACAATATAATTATATGTAATTAGTGGAGTTAGTGTACCACTAGATCGCGTGACGGCTGCAGTCAGCGTTAGGTGTGAAAGAGTTGGAATTAAAATATTTCATAAAACTAATAGTTTATTTGTAACAATTGTAATTACGAGAACTGTACGTTATATTACATAAAATGTATCAACTAGTGGATTAGCTAATATGCTAGATCAAGAATTAGTCCATAATGTTCCTCTTTGATAACCTCCGTATGACATGATAGATGTCATAATTAGGTTCCTATAAAGTATCAGTTAATACGAAACCGTGTTACATAGCAGTAAGAACAAAAGAATGGGTTACGTTACTACAGCTAATACGAGGTGTGCTATTTTATCTTCATTATTATAGACAATTTATTTTATTACAGAAAACCGTATTGTACAAGAATTGTATATCGTATCGAAAAAATTTTAACATCAAGTTCAATATTCTTATGTTCGAATGACGGTCTCCTTGAAACTTTCAAAAGCTCTCACCAAATACAGATAATTAAGCACAATTGTCACGAAAGTATACGAGATGCGCGTGGACACGTGCGTCGCCATAAACAACATGGTGCACACAGTGTGAACGAAAATAGACCTAGGTAATTTTTGTCACTAGAGGTTACGAACTGGTGATATCAAGCAATAACGCGTGAACCATTCACGCTCGATCCGAATCTGGGCAAATAAGCCTTCAGGCGACAGTTTAGAAAGGTGATTTTCATCGATGCAACAAGTAACTTTTATTGGTCGTGTTTCTGCACGTTGTTGCACACCTGCCTCCGAGTCTTACGTGACACATATCCTGGAGGCAGGATGCGTTTGCTCTATCAAGGATAAACGGGCAAACGTATTTCGAAATCCATTCGCAACTATTTTTCTTTGTCAACCGCCAAGTCTTTCGGGAAATCTTATGTTAAGGCGCGTTTAGACCGCACCAAGGAAAGCACGTTCGCCCCCTCCACTTCGACAAAATTCAAGTTCAAACGAGCATAAACAGATACCAAATGTACGAAGAATTTTTGAAAGTACGAATTCGTTCGTTTGGTGTAAACACACCTCTAGAGAACGTTATTACGAACATTTATATTTCACGATTCTAACGAAGCTTTATTGTCTATTAGGGCGTATTTCTATCGCGACTAATTTGTTCTCGATGTGAACGGTGTTTGTCGATAAAGTTTATACAATAAGGTATGTTTTTTGAGACTCTAATAAAACGTACGGAAAGTTGATCAATTCATGGCCAACTCGAGCGAGTTTATTAGCTAATAAGATAGTTGATATTTTAATAAGGTTTCAATATTGTGTGAAGTGGATACTCGGTAATTAAATATTACTGAAAATAATCGCGTGATTTTATAATTGCTTCGCGTGTAAAAGTGTTGGATATCGTGTTAGGCGATATATCAAGTTTGAGAATTATTAAACAATTGTTTTTTTTTTTTCTTCAGGCAGTGTAATGCAATAGAAATAAAAACAAGTGACAATATTTATTCACGCTCGATTATTTTCGTTCGGTATACTTTTAAATGTCGCAACGACGTAGATAAAACAACGAGTCCGGATTTCTAATAAAACGTTCGTGACGACCGAACAAAAAAGTTACAACTTTTAACTATGTAATAATTTTATCATTCCGCATTACGTTAACGTTTTTACGTAACGCAGATAAGTCCAAGAATACGTACATATATTTTTCTAACAAATTCTCAATAAAGTGTATACCAAACGAGTTCGTGGAAAAAAAAAATGAAAGTTGTAATCGTTTATGATTACCGACTCCTTGCTGAGAGAATTGATAATTAGCTTTTAAAAATTAGGCACGTGGTAATGATTAGGTTCATGGTTTTGTTACGAATGATTGAAGTACAAATTTTGCATCGACTAGCAAGTTTCGCATGAATTAACCTTTACTCTATTGAACGTGAATTGAAGTATTCCAATGCAATTAAGATATCAACATTCGTATTCCAATTGTTAGAACGCATATGTCGCCATATTGCTTTTTTTTCGTATTGAAAACACTACCTTAACCACCAATTACACCAGACGACGTAAAAACGCATTTATGTCGTTCCAACATGAAATGTAACACGTATACAACGTATAGGAGTTAAAAAGCTGCGTATACTTTGCAAACATTTACATAAACATGATGGAAATTTTTGAAAACTTCGGCACTCACCTTTGCGACGAGATGCTGGCTGGTGTGTACGTCGACGCATCGGTACAGAGCGCTACCCTCGGTCGGCCCAAGAAGTAAATACCGATCGCCGAGTATGGTGGGTCCATGATGATCTGTGGGCAGAGGTTCGTAACTAGGGAAGACAACTGGTGGCACTGAGTTCGTCTCATCGCTCGTCGGCTGTTGACCGATGTCCTGATTATTGTTCGGATTGACCAGGAACTTTCCATTGTTGGTACGAGCCACTTGCGGATGAAGAGGATGCTGCCTGATGGCGGCTGTCACTCTCATATTGTGCCGTTTTCACACACGCACCGTTTTACACTCGCGACACTACTGCCTCTCCCTTTATCTTCTTCGTTTTGCTTTCGAAAAAGTTCGCTTTAGTCAAACGAATCACGCATCCGTACTTCTTGTAGTTCGATTGAATTTTATAATTACAGGTAATTATTGGACCGTAAAAGCAGAAAAGCCTTTTGAACACAATTCACGTCACAGGATTACCAAACACGGCAGCTGCGACGGATATCGATTGTAACGGGCCGACTTGAACGCTTTTAAGCTCTATCGGTATAAACGCGTGTATAGCTACGGATTAATTATTAGGTAAGAATATCACTTGTGCTCGGGCCCACGCAGCGTTGCATCAAGTTACCGCTGGGTCCTTGGACGGAGATCTTCGTGGGTGACAATCGGTCACTTTTTACGAAAAAGCTCTGTAACATAAAAATAAATAAAACAATTAATCATAAATTATCATATTTTGTTCTATTATTTATCGCATATATATCAATTTCTATTATAAATTGATCATTTTTAAAAATTACTATTTTATTTTATATAAATCTTTATATATGTACAGGGCTTAAAATAGTGCAATTCACGATAAAGTACTGTAACGCATAAAATCGTTAAGTCGAATTAACATTTATTCATAATAGGACTCGAACGACAAAGGTTCCGTTTATTAGCTCTATGTGATTCACGGACAATTTCAAAAGACAACGTTTCGACACTCGTCCTGCCTTGTGCGCAATTTCTATAGAGAAGGGGACACTGTAAGGTCAGGGATATCACTGTAAGGCGGTCGTTGCGCCGTAACGTTCTACTCAGCCAAGGAAGCCGAGTGGCAGAAAAATTATAAAACGTGATGCAAGAAAATCCCGAGGGCATTATTAATGCTGTTAATGGTATACCGAATTTTTATCAAACCCTTCTCTCCTTTATTTACACCTTGTTGCGCACAACAGACCATAACTTTCTATACGGTTTATCATATCTCAGGTAGCACGTATACAATCGCATACTTTTGATGTCGTATTTGTTTTCTACATTATCGAGTCGATTACACATTTACTAGTTTAGGTTATGAAATTATTTCAACGAGCAATATTTCGAAATTTTGTTTACAATTCCACTATAAAAAGTTGAAAAATAATCGTAAAATACGTTTTTTCAATTAATTGTAACTTCAAAAAACAATCTTCTGTGCGTAAAAAGATCGGTTTTCCAACTACGATTGCCGAAACCAGACGATATGCAAATTCAGTGTCCTTGACGGATGCAACATGAGATACGTTGCGTATAAATCGCATGAGCTCGAAATTAAGAAAAAATTACAGGTTACCGTTGATATGTATTCTCTATAATACGTAGTCGTTTCGTTTTAATTCCAACTTATTAATGCTTTCGGATAATGCAAAAGCAAGAGGTTAACCTTGAAAATTGAAAAAAGTGATACTAACCGGGTGATCAAAAATTTGAATTTCAGAATTAACTCGATCGTGTTGGACTTTATCGTTGCGAATGGCGACTATCGATATTCATGAAATCGCGCCATTACGATATCTACGCACTTGAATAAAACTTTACCGTTCCAAAGATCAGGAATTTGTATGTAAGAGAGTATGTACACGCTTCGCCTTTTGGATCCTTCCTTGAAAGACAGTCAAGGTTCGACTGTAATTCTAATTCGCCATCTGCACCGGAGAAATTATCGAAATGTACTCTTTTTGCTTCGACCCCTCAAATATTACGAACGGTAAGGTTAGTGGCGTAGCGACAGGTGCGGGAGCCCCGTGGCTGGAACTTGTATAAACGTCTCTCTCTTATGTCCACGTTTATTGAATGAACGAGAATCTGACGAAACAGATAGCTTAGGATTAGTAAAGGATTGCGTCTGCACGGTAGCGCGTGTCGAAACGCGTGTACACGTCCGTACGCACACTACGAAGTAGATAGCAGATATCCTTCGGTAAGGTCAAAATGGCGGAGTTCCACAGTTGTCACGGCGATATTGCGGGCACCGGTTGCATTAATAGCGCGCGCGAATGTGACGCAATACCGCGAAATAAATTGCCTAATACGTCCGCTCACGCAGTCCATAACTTTACATCGATGGATCGCACCGGCATTTTTAACGACTTCCGACACGAACCAGGAAGAAACTAAACGACGACAACAAATTACAAGACTTCATATTTCGCGGGTTCAATTGTGAAAATTTCTTTATTCGTTTTTCTTTAAAATACTAGTCTGAGGTATCCTTCAACTTTTCGTGACGTTTGCACAGTAGGCAAGTATGTATGAGCTACGTGTCCAATCATCGATTCCGTTAGATGTCGTGGAATTGTCAATTGCGACAAGCAAACGATCAGATGGGAAAGCGAACAAGGGGTGCACACCGATATCAGGGCAAGCGCACCAAAGTAAATATACGATAGAACGAAGAGGCTGACATCGATCCAGTACGCGTCGGTAATAATCACTGCACTTTGCACTGTACTCGCGCGAGGTTGATACGCAAATTACGAGTACGCGCACACACTTTGCGATGTTTTTTTAACTGAAATACATTTGCTCGATGTACAACAGGAGCAGGGTGAACACAGGGGATTACCTTTTATGTTTTTCTTATTGTCGCCGTACGTTCCTGAACGGGAGGCTGGGATGGAGAAACGGTCAGACGTATCTGAGTTTCCCCCAAAGACGTTGTTGATAAACCGCCGTCTGCTCGAAAAGCGAATCCCCGATTTCTACCGGGAGTATTGGTTTTTCGAATAGCGCGCGCGTCGGATCAAACCTGGCCTTCTTCCTGTCGTTTTTCTACCTGGATGGTGTCGGTAGTAATCTTCTGTTCCACGGTTTTGGCAATTCGTCTTCCGACCAACCGCCGTTGTTACTATTTCTCTTTCCTCACACAGACTAGGAGGCTGAATAACTCAAGAGAAATAGGGAAACGTGGAAAGCTGAGCGGTTACGAACGAGGGAGATTGTGTGGTGATAGATTTGTATCCCACGCAACGGACGGTCCAACGTTTTGGGCCGGCCCTCCGCTCAGAAACGACGGCGGCAGCAGAACGAACAATCACAGACCGATCGCGCCATTGTGCAGCAAACGACTGAAACTACGGTCGCCGCCTCGACTTAACCCGACAGAATCGGTAAGTGCGTGGTGGGGAGTGGTAAGCAAGCGCGCATGCGCGTATCATGGTCATTACAGTGTCGGCACAAGAGAGTCGCGTGAAGCGGTGCCTTAGCGTGTTTTTCGTGCTCGTAAAAACGTGATCAAAATTTCAGAAGACGAATTACAACGGAGGACGAATTGTTTTGTTTCAAATATCCTGTGGTGAGATACCTCTTTTTTTCTCTTAATCATCAGATAATAATACCGTTCGAAGTAATAAATATATTCTACGCATGACTGAAGGAAAGAAAATATTCTTTTTATTCTGTCCGTTCACACCGTGTTAGTTTTTTAACTTCTTCCGAAGAAGTATTACTTGAAATTACTTTAAAAATAAGAATACAAGTTTTGTTCTTCGTATCAGTCACGTGACTGATTCAGCATTTCAGTGTCTAGCTGTTATGTATTGCAATATGCTGTTAATTTACATTTAATCTGCATCGGTGATGCAACAAGCGACAGAGTTACAGAATATTGTAGAATAATAAAATACAACATCGTATAAGTCGTGTTTTTTGAGAATGCCAGAAAGAGGGTCTCGACAGTTGGAGATGCGCCACTGGCCACATCAGTACATACGTGGGCATCCTAAACCGCGACACGCGGTCGTACAAGTAAACTTTTCATACGTTTACATCTGTAATACTAATTGCTTCTACATTTACCATGTGCCGTCACCTTATTAATAATTAAGGCGAATCGAAATTGAAATTTTACACTTCACAATACTTTCGTTACATTTCATCGTGAAATTGTTTATACAGACACATCTAATGCGTTTGTTACGTAAAAAATTTTTAAGGTTAACAAGTGGCTACGATCGGTTAGACAGCCTCGGGCATTTTTTTAATCGACAAATGGTATTCATAGGAGAGTAGAATCTTTCGTGATATTCGTTTCGCATAAATGGCGTGCCCTTGACCTACCTTAACGTTCCTTAGCAACCGCGGGAGGCACGCTTTAAACAATCAGTGGCACTAAGGGCACGTAACCTCACCCACGTATTCCGCTTTGACCGTGAGAAAACGTATCATCGTTGCACGTAGTTTTTGTCATGAAGAAGTAGAGGTACGGCGCTATTTCTTGAGTCATTTCTTGAAATACGTTTAGCTTTGCGGTTTTCCTTTTTCATAAAGGTGAAAAAAATGCTAAATGTAAGGTTAACCTGCACATGTAACGATTGCTAATATTGCTATTTAAAAGTCTGTATTTTTAGATTGAGATTAAAAATGGAAGCAATTAAAAATAATCTTGCGGTGATTAGACGTATTTTTTGTTTCGTGTACTAATCGTTTAATTTACTTCAGTTACTTTAAATCTATCGTTTAGAATAATCATTCAAACGTCGATTAGTAATTATCAAACGCGGGCTAAATCGAAATATCAAATTCCCAGATTTCGCAACTATAAATTGCCAACCTTGTGTACAATTTAACTCTTTGCCGTCGAAAGCCACCATAAAAGTGCTATTGAAAATATCCCGTGAAACTTGTCGCCTTGAAGTTTTTTAACACGTGAGGACAACAGCAAAAATAATTTTCTCAAACCGTACTGTTTTTTTCTTGTAAATACACAGACTTCCATCGTCACAGAGTTAAAGAAATTACAAAAAAAATTGCATATCACTATAATTAAAAAATTTAAATAAATTAAACAATACGTATACGTGCGTATGGGTACATTAAGGCGCGTTCACACGATCAACATATACTGTCGATATTTCAGGGTTCTCAGCATTATTGTACGTGACAATACTGTATCGACTATTGATCGATTTGCCTACGTACAATAATGCTGAGAACCCTGAAATATCGACAATGTACATATATATCGATCGTGTGAACGCGCCTTTAGTATCGCAAGAGTATTCAACGTCCATTCTCGATAATAATTGAAACTTTCAAGATGCAGGGTATATTTACGCTACCTGACACATTAAAACATTCTGATTTTCTTAAAGAGTACCCTGTTGCGTTGGAAACGCTGCAAAATGTTTATTGTAAAACGTATATTTATGCACGTACACATGCTCGTGCCCGAAGAGATACGGCCGATTACGTGGATCGCGTGGCTCGAGCCCGGAGCAGGCCTTCGAATTTCCAAACGAGTTCGGCCAGAGACCGGATATTGGCCAACCTACCGCTTTTTTTTAACGCACTCGATTCTGCCACTTACGTGGGTGCCGGTTGCTTCGTCTCATGGCCCGATGATTCAAGCCGGCCATGTATGTCAACGAAAACAACGATTCGACGGGTTCAGGAAACGATAGATCTGATAAGAATATCGGCCGACACGTTTTAATAAAATAGACAATTAATTCGGCCGTGCGATAACGAAATTCACCAGACTGCACACCTTGATGGAATATTACGATCGTTTTCGTGAAAACTGGTCGTGAACCAACTGAGAAAATACCCAACGATTAATTAGCACTATAAGAATGTAGTAATAAATAAATAAATGTATAGGAAGAAACAAGTACAGTAAAAAAAAAAATGAATCGGTGAGAATGATAAATGTCGCTTTGTCGAGTTCGATGTGAAATTTTGAATTTCGAATTTCATCGATCTGAACGAAACGAATAGAAATGAATCGAATTACACCGCAATTATTTGCATTCCACGATTAAATTTCTCGCGTTAAATATAAATAAAACTTAGCGTATTCGTACAAATTCCTTCGATGTGACTGCCACCGCGGTTAGCTTCATGCTAATACAAACTTTAAGCTGAACGTAGTTTGTGTAGCAGACCGCGATAAATAGTTAAGAAACAGAGAGAGGACTGTTTGTCGAAATATATTTGCCCAGAACTGTACCATTGTCATACACGCCTTAAATCTTTCGGTTCACGTATCACCGATCAAATGCAATTGATCCCGATAAAAACATTTCACGAGATTGATAATCTCTCGTTCAATGTTTCGCGTCCTTCGGCGAACCTTGCGAATTTTTCCACGTCGCGATTCATGCCGTCTGTATTTATACGTCGAACTATTTATCAATTTATAATTAAAAGGCCGTTTCACGACGATTAAATCGTGCCTAGATTACGGCAAGGCTTATCATTTCTAGACAAGGTGGGAGTGTTAATTCATTTTCGATTTTCTCACGTTTCGAAATCGTTCGCGAATGTCAAACGTCCTCGTACATTTCTTTCGGCTATCTAATTAACCTTCAAACGACGGAGGCCGGGTCATCGTTGACCCAGCTTTTAGACATCTCTCGTTTCGACTGGCACTCGAAACAGAGTCACGATTCTCCGTTACAAATATGTTTGTTACTTTAATTGCGGTATATTTTAAACGATATAACGTCCTGTAAAATAAAAAAAAAAAAAAGTGTCGCTTCGCTTGCGTACGAAGAAGATTTTCGGGTCATATTCGACGGTTAAGCATGATTTCTCGCGGTCGATTCGTTTTCTTTCTTTTTTGCTTCCGTTTAAAAATGACGACATTGAAACCTCTCCGCCGGCGGATATTGCCGCGAGAAATTTCGTGATCCGCGCGAAGCGTCCTCAAGGCTGACGAATATTTATCACGAACGAAACACTGATAACGGTCTACAAACGTGTACAAGTTTTTTCGAGCCTTGTGTTTCGAGGAGCCGGGGACACTTTAAAGCTGTTCACTTTAAACAGATCCTCTGTTATTATCGTGAAGGTACGATGATGTGCTGCTGGCTACCTTATCCATCGATTTCTCACAAATGTTTGCTCGTGTTTTTTTCGACGCGCTTATCGTATTGTCGGTTTCCACCTTATCTGTTATCATCACCTTACCGAAAAACGTTTCGTGGCACCGCGAACGCGAGGCACGCGTTGTTTTATTGCCGAGATAAAACGACAGAGTCCTCGACGTTGTTGTATCCACGATCTTTCGGTAACACCGTGAAACTCATCTAGCAGGAACACAAAACGATATTAACTGCGGTCGTGGAATCGGGTAGAACGGTAGCGCTGATAAAACCCGATGTATTATGTTCAATTTCCTATCTACTGTAAATGAGAGACGTGTAAATAAAACTGATACATTAGTGGATTTAGAAAGTCATCGACCAACTGCGATTCGAACAAATACACTCGCCGCCTGACCTTCGTTTCACGACGACAAATCTCTTCTTTGACGGATTTTTTCCTGCTTTTCTCTCCCGCCCCTCGAGACATCATCGAAATGTCAATGTTCGTCGTTAATGGATTAGGTATTTACATACTAGACGTTTATGCGATTGTCGCACGCGAGAATGGAGATGAATCTCTCAGACTTAGGCTTCGAATAATCTTAGATTTTTGTGGAACTTTGGTATATTGTAGTTCTCGAAAAAAATATAACACGCGTATTTTTTTCTATATCGTGCACAACGAAGGGGTTAAAATCGCCTTCGAAGTTGGAGACGGTAAATATATTTAGTGTAATATCTCGAAAACTATCAGAGATAGAAGAATTTGATATTTTTCATCGACAAATTTCAGAAATAAAAGGTAGCAAAGAATTTTGACCAAATATGTTTATTACAGCGTGGACGATTGCCAGTAGAAAGAAATACGTGTCAAATATTTTTTCGAGTACTACAGCATACCGAAGTTTTATCGATATCTCCTATCCCTAGTTAGATAGAATCTGTTACAGCTGCATAAGTAACCGCGCTAAGTCACAGATAAATGTATTTTGCATATTTCAATATCTTATAATTGTATAAACATCCGCAGTCTGGTCATTTGCTCGGTTCACTATGACTAGATCTGTTTATTAAATCCCAAGAGACGCGGAGTTCAAACATCATTATCACTCGTCTTTTTCCACTTGTTCTACTGAAGAAACGTCCTTCGCATCTTTCCGTTTTTCTACCGCGGTATATCGGGTCGTTTGGAAAATTCGTGTCGATTTTCACGTAGACAATCGAATTCCAAACGTTGAGAAAAAAAAGGAGAAAGTCGAAAGAGCGCAAAAGTTTGTGCGGAACAACGCTCGTTGCAGAATATTCTCGATACGTTTCCATCACGTTCCTCCTCCGTTCGCGAGAATGCTCGCGTGACCGAGAGACTGAAGGCGGATCTCCGTGAACCAGAGCCGCCAGAAATCGTCGCTCGAGATCGGTCGAATTTTTCAGATAGACGCGAGGTCACTGGGTGACTGGACTGATAATTCCCTCGTGGAGGCGACCG